ATAAACGTAGACATCAACAATTGACAATAATGTTAAAATTGTACTTCGGCGTAAAACGGCGTTCTCTGTTGTAGTAGTGTTGGTATTGTGTCATGTATACAATTGAACTGGTGACCCATTGTATCAGAAATATCATTATTATTGTTCTGATTATTTTTGTATTTGGTACTGAGAATTTAAAACTGGAATAATACAATATTTTTTTTCTTTTCAAAAGGACGGAAATATCAGGTTTAAAATGCACACATGTTGCTTATCAAAGTGTGTGTCTGATTTCATAAAGTCATCTCTACCTATCTGGAATGTTGTAATTATATTATACGAGACTCGTCTTTCACAGCAATTAATCATTACCATAGAATTCGTGTCAACAACGCTCGGGTGAATATCATATGCAACCCTTCCATATGGATGGCGGTCTGTTTTTATCACACTACGTCAAAAAATCGACCCGTGATTAATTAAGCTTTCGTTACTTTAATCCGTGGGCGGTCAATCCTCTCATTACAAATGAGACCAAGATATAAGTCCATGGTTAGCTAAATTTTATCGATATATTACCTTGATCCTAATACATTTCTTCAAACGTCCATCCCTCATTGAGTAATAACAATGAACGGGAACTAGTGTAGTGTTAAGCGATGATATAACCTTTGAGAGAAAAATGACAACTCCCCGAATCGCAATAATATACTGAATTACTAATGACATTAATTTTCTTTAATTACTGCCGGGCCAACTCCCATTTCATCGCAAATTGCTAGTGATACAGACAAAGAGCGCACTATTGCCGTAGTATATAATATAACTACGACGAAAATGACTGCGCTATCGTACCATATGTTGCATCGAAGTGATATTTTTTTCTCGCAAAATGTTCAACAGGCTGTTCGTCTGCCAGCAAGAGTGTGTTAGCGTCGCAAACAAATCGTTTATGCTCAAAGCGTTCTCGTATGATTTCTCGGTGTGTGGGATTATATTGTCTAATAGTAGTACTATATTGCCCGCGGTTGAAAACAAACTCCACCATTGCAACGTGAGCCTAAAATTAATCTAACTACCACGGCGAATTGTATAATTAACTGGTACTCCTACTTAACACAGTGTGTACGAACATGAGTTCTACATTAAACACGATCAATCTGTTTGAAACATTGTCGCCCGTGGGTCGGATATGTATATTTTTGGTTATTACACGCTTTACCTAGTCAATAATTATTACGGGTTTGACGGGTTCCGGTGCGCATGTTACGTGATATTCTGCTGATTACATCAGCCACTCGTGGGATCGTTCGAAACATTACAATGACGCAGCGCATTGTCACCGTCTCGTGCAAACAAATAAATACGATGAGCCAAATGAATTCCGGCATTTTTCTATTTTTCAAATCCAACATTTAACTGACATGTTTTGTTACAGTAATGATACATTTATTTATTTGAAGGACGAGGATATATGTTACAGTATGGCCCCGGAGTATGGCTGGCTGCTGATGAGGCAACAGGTTGTATGGCGTTCTACGATGAATAACACATAATAATGAAACCCGCGTGTCGTCTATTTTAGTATCAATTTTTGTCAATTTTATGTGTATGAAATGACCCCAACGAAATCATCCATATTAATTTCAATATGTAGGCCTCTAAAAATACACTTACATTTTTGTTGATTCTCTGCTGTATGTACACAGCAATAACAGTGTTAGTTTTACACTTTAATATTAGACGAGGCGCGCCCGTCGACCTAAATAGTTCCATGATTGTTGACTGGATGAAATTTGCCATCAGTTGATATTGATATTTATGCGCGGCCTAATTTTATATGTTTCAGTTACATGAAACGAATAAGAGCCGAGCAATACGGTTGCAAACAGTGACACTTTTCATGCAACGTTGCACAAGTTATAAGTCACACGAACACATTAATAAATGGCAAATGTGTAACCGAACAGACGTGTTGTGCTGGTCATATTGCAAAGCGAATATATTGACTGTATATGTGTGTGTATATATAACCAGCAATGCAGCAATCAATCGCTCTCATTTTGTAACACGTGTTGAATTGAATAGAAAGTCAATAAAAAAAGGGTTTGCCAACGAATCATAATGTATTTATTAAATCAAAGTAGACTATACTGCGTGTACAGTTTGAAACACGGATTTTGATTGATCTGATTTGAACGCCGAATCCAATAATGACGTAACATGTTTTGACGACAGGAATGTTACATTGAGACTGAACGGGAATGATGTGTTTATGCTTCCAGATGGAACTGCGTTTTGACATTTGATATTCTTCGATGCATAGATTGAACACCGTGGATAGCGCCGAGACTAACTACACATACCGATTACAATTCGGTATTAATAATTCACACTCAACACCTGATATTTTACCACACTGGCAATTTTAGATCATCAGCAAAGAACTGAGACGTCATTAATATCATCATTATGAGTTGCACAAAACAACAAAAGGATGATTACGAATAGCATACCCTTAAATGATAACAAATCAGTTTTGGTCCCTGTTTCAAATCAGGGACTAATAATTCGTGCGTTCGTCCATTCGTACGTCAAGATCCATTTTTCAGACATGTTTTGACCGACCACATTCAAACATAACACGTAGACCATGTATGGTGAATTGCATTTTGTTCATGCCCATGCCCATTTTTAACTAATATATCGCCTGAATTAGTTGAAAGTTTACACAAAAGTACTATGCCAATATGTAATGACATAGGTTGTATTATTTTGTTTGACGAATATTGTCTAAGATGCTAAAATCGCTGTCTGTAAATGTGCCCGGAATCATTTCTTACAGATAGAAATCATTGCTTTGTTTCAGGATCACACATGCTGGGTTACAGATGGACAATTGATTCTCTGTGATGGTTTGCATGATTTCGCTCAAAATTAGTACAAACATACTGGAAATTGGTTGCACTTGCACATTAATTTTTCAGTGATTAAACCAAATATGCTTAGCCCATTATAGTACATTGCTAGCAACGGCTAATCGCATCACAGCACTATTTTCCAAACGTGAATCCACACTGGATCGCTGCTAGTGATGGAATCCGGCAATTAAGTATAGAACTAGGACTGTGCATTGAATATGTTTTTGTGTGTTCATAAATCCGTTTGAAACTGAACCACTTTGATAGTCTTCTGACACGCAGCCCCAACTTACTTTATTCAATGTAATATTCAATTCAGAGTACATTATACGTGTTTCCTAGGAAACAAATTAACCAAATCTAATTTAATAGAAAACCACGGAAACAACCTGTTCACAAAACGTGTTAATTCATTCTGAATTGTCTGCTCTGAACGGCGTTACACTGCCTCCTTAATTGCCATCATTTGCACTGTAGTGTATTTGTAGAATAAAAGAATCTCCCAATTATAGTAGTTATAATCATAACTACATCAACTGCGTACAGTAACCGTGGCCAGTTCATCACAAGCGAGGACTTTCCCAGTTTGCAAATTCTTTCCGAAAAGTAAAATCAACCAATTGCGACGTGGTTGTATGCGCACGTGATATATTTGGTGTTTACGTCACAGCATGTAGGCTCGTTCGAGGATCCTATAGTGTTCACCGTGGAATCCATTTTTGTTTTCTAATTTGTTCATAACGTCTTTCATAATACCTAGATATACCTAGATCTCAGTTGAGTCAATTTGAACAAATTAACTAATTTCCAAAAATTATTTCCAAACAAATTTATATTTCATATCATTACATATCGGCATTTTAAATTGATCTTTGCGTGCATGATTATATTTTAACACCTTATTGTCCGTGGTTGAAAACAGCCAGCAGCATTGCAAAGTGAGCTTTAAATTATTCTAACTACCTCGGTGAATTGTATAAATAAATGGTGCTAAAATCTGCTGAAAAAATAAAGTAAAACACTGGATATTAAGTAGTGGCGCATGCTAAAGACATGGCAGATTACAAGTTGAACAAGCCAGAACATATATATATTAACAGAAACATGTTAACGTGTCAACACTAGCTTAAACTTATTTCACTTTGTCTTGTTATTCCATAATTGTTTTTCTGTCCTGTCAAAACACGTTTATTTTGTATAGTTCCCGTATCTTTATTGAACGTTCGTTATATTCACACCAGCGCCCATACTAATGCAGTTGATAGATGTTGATACTCCATACTCAATAGCGATAGTCACAAATGTATCGGTGATTTGAGTCATGATTTGGACAAACATTCATTGAAACTTGCGCACACATGGTCAGACATTGTGCATTTCGGTCCAAACGTTGCTATATTTTCGCAATATCATTTTATATTATGTTCAATTAAATTTATTTCAAGTTACCCCTTTTCTGCTACCTTGGGGTAATTTAGCTATACGTCTTCCTGGATACAGTAACATATTCCCCACATGTGAAGTCACGCTGCATTTACACTGCAAATAAACTGACTCCTTTCATTTCCATTAACATACCTGAGATAATTAGCACAGTACTAAAAAAAAATCATTTTCCCCACAATATAAGCAGATACTGTAAAATACTTTATTTTAGCTGGAATTAATTTTCACTGAAAAGGCTTTTCGGTGTTTTGTATGAAAATTATTTTCGCTGATTTTTGGTGAGTTGAATGTAAAATATAGGAAAAAAGGATTATTCGCTGGATTTTATTTTCACTGAATCATTACTTCAGCGAAAATAGGGAAAATTAATTCCAAGCTAAAATAAAGTATTTTACAGTATTGCCTCATGAAATATATAAATGCAAATGTTTGAGTGCAGAAATATGTGCGTTTTGACGGACAACCTGGTTTATGTGACGTATCTTCTGTTTTTGTTGCAGGAAACAATGTCACTATACTCTCTGAATATGACGTCATTATGATGTACCACGTAAGAGCAAGTCTGGAATAGAGCAAAAATAAATTGTACAGCTATCACAGATTCGACAGGTGGTTTTGCTCTTCGGTGAACATTCCCGATAATATACCACGATGGCTCACTGTATCGATTTTCTCAGTAAAATTAGCCGCTTGAAGACACTGGACTCTGATCCAATGAACACTCGTATGAACCGATGTCTCACTACATTGGATTTGACGATGCTAGGAATTGGTGGGATGGTAGGGGCTGGCTTGTACGTTCTCACGGGTACAGTTGCCAAGGATATGGCTGGGCCGGCAGTTACGATCTCCTTTCTCATCGCTGGATTTGCCTCGCTTCTGGCGGCGCTATGTTACGCCGAATTTGGCGCCAGGGTTCCCATGACTGGATCGGCGTATTTATACACGTATATAACAATGGGTGAGATGTGGGCTTTCCTGATTGGATGGAACATTATTTTAGAGTATTTCGTTGGTGGCGCATCCGTTGCCAGGGCGTGGAGTGGTTACTTTGATGAGCTACTTGGATTCAGGATTCGAAACTTTACGTATGAACATATCACTGGTGGGCCTTGGGAACACCCGCCCCTGGCAGAGTACCCGGATGTATTCTCAGTAATTCTGATCTTTGCAGTAACATTGTTCGTAGCACTGGGGGCAAATTTTTCGTCGAAATTCAACTCAATATTTGCTAGCTTAAACCTGTGTGTGGTTGTGTTTGTTATCTGCGCAGGACTGAACTTCGCAGATATAGGTAATTGGAAGACAGACGGAGGATTCGCACCATATGGATTTGCTGGCATTATGTCTGGGGCTGCCACGTGTTTCTTCGCATTCATAGGATTCGATGTAATCGCAACGTCCGGAGAAGAAGCGAAAACGCCAGCTAAAAGCATACCTATCGCTATATGTGCCTCCTTGGCAGTTGCTGCAGTCGCCTATGTTGGCGTCTCCATAACATTAACGCTAATGGTGCCATACTATGAGATCCAACCAGAAGCTGCATTGCCAGCTGCTTTTCACCGGCATGGACTTGCCTGGGCTGAGTACATAGTTGGTATTGGTGCGCTCTGTGGCATAACTACGGCGTTGCTTAGCAACATGTTCTCTCTTCCGCGTATCATTTTTGCAATGGCCAGCGATGGCCTACTTTTCCCAATTTTTGCAAAAATTCATCCTCGCACACAAGTTCCAGTTGTTGCCACTCTTATATTTGGCATACTAACGGCAATATTAGCTTTAATTTTCGACCTTGAAGCACTGGTCGAATTTCTTTCAATTGGCACTTTGTTGGCATACACCATCGTCGCCGCGAGCGTACTGGTTTTGAGATACCAGCCTCCGAAAGATGGTGGAATTGGCGGAGGACCGACAAACGACGATCATAGAGAAGCAGAGAGTGACATTGAGGAGAAGCGAAAAGAAAAAATGCCTCTGAAGCAAGAAAATCATTCCTCGGAGATCAACCCGCAGGATTTTGGAACTTTGAAGGCAGGGTTTGAGTGCCTAAATTTTCTGAGGAATTTTCAACCAGGAACCGTACCTGCGTTTTCAGTACTAATTATGAGTATATTTATGCTGGCTTTAGCTGCTGTCATTTGTTTCGGGGTTAATTCACTCTTAGCAGCAGAAGCATGGGCTATATTCTGCGTGGTACTGTTCAGTTTAATAGTGATTCTCAGCTTTCTGATGATCTGCATACATTACCAGAACAACATAATTCTAACATTTAAGGTAATATCTGAATTTTCGGTATTTTTGAGTTTATGTAGTTGTTGTCCGAATGTGAATCTTGTTAATATTTTTGGGTGTGATATAACAACAAATAAAACCCTTATTTTCGAAACGAATATAGCTGTATTCGTTCGATGAATTTAAAAACAAATTTACTGATAGTAAATAAATACGATAAAAGTTACGCTAATCTTTTATCAAATTGTAATATCGAACAATGTGATACTCGGTTATCGAAAATGATTGTTTAGCTATCAACAATAACATAATATTATGAATTGGATTGTGTTTGTAAACTATGGACACTTGTGTATCGATTATTCATCGAAGTGAAAAATCTATATTTTTCCACCGTGTAAGATAAAGATACAATTTTCAATCTTGCCACTTGGTGGCGCTATCACCCCCAAATTAACGTGTTATTATTATTTTCTAGGTTCCATTCGTCCCCTTTGTGCCAGCGCTCAGTATATTCTGTAATTCTATTTTAATGATGAAACTCTCGTACCTGACTTGGATAAGATTCGTTGTCTGGGTAACGCTAGGTGAGCGCATCTCGGTATTCTATACATCTCGCGTTCTCTGAGACCTGTTGTCATGTCTCGGACGAGAGATGCAATCCAGCGTATTAAGACAAATTTGATTGTTTATTTAAATTAAAAAATCAGTAAAATACTGGCTCGCGTATTTCCACGTATTTCACTACCAGACACTAATGATAATTGCATCTGTGTTTTAATAACGACGGTGCTATTCATGTGTATTGCAGGGATGCTGTTATATTTCACTTACGGAATTCGGCACAGTAAAGAAGCCCGTCGATGGGAAGCCGACAAAGCCCCAGAAATTCGTTATTTTATCATGCCTCAAGAATCTCTGTGTACAATACAAGGATCCGTGGAATTGCAACAGCCAAATAGCGCAACACCTCTCGCTGACGACGCAAGCAGTGACACGAGTGATACTAGGACGCTATTGGGCAACGCAAAATAACGTTCCACCGTAACAAACTGTTTAATATACTATTAAGCACACCCACGATGATGGATTCTATAATTCTTCAAATATATATTCGTTTTCTATCAGGTGAAATTGTTTTCGTTTAGAGTCGCTCAGCGTCACAAGTTTCAGTCGAAAATTAGTAGCGCCCTCAACTACTCACTTTACGTATGACCAGCGCACTCTCTGTCCACTTCTGTCATTTACACAATTATGTTTAGAATGAACCATTTACAATAGCGGCAAAGCCTCGTATCACATGACTAGAATGTACGTCTTCCAAACCTGTATCGACTTGCAATGAAATGTACTATCATACAAAGTATTTTCTTAATCAAAATTACTTTAAATGTTGTTCATACTCTACTTAAATATTGTATGGTTTAGCAAATTTCGGGCTTGATTTTTCCTCTTTTAAAATATTACTTCGTTCTAACACGTTTTTTTGCTGGCTGTGTAAACATCGTCTTGTATATAATATTTTCAATATATTGTTTTTCTGTTGATTAGAATCGGGTCATATTGACAATGTTGTCATTTCGAAACACAGAGGGCGTTTTCATGAAAATAAGTTACGATGTCACGTTTAACGTGTTTTAGTTGCAATGTACGTATTGGTCTTATGTAAGTACTTGATGCTCGACCTATTGTAAACAAGTACGCTTCTGGTAATGACTAAAGTCGAATAAAATATTCTGTCGTGAAAATGTATTCAACGTGCTGTCCAAATTAAAGGGCGGTGGTCGTCGCGCCACACATGTGTGTATGTGTATGTGACAATGCCCTCACAGTTTAGAATCAGTTTACCGACAGCCAATCATATTGCTTCTTTCATCAACGCGCTTGGCCAAGCTATCAAAATCTCGGATGGAGCCGAGTCACAAGACGCTCCACGTTGCTATTAAAGATGTGCACCATTCTAGCATGTATTTCTATGGGCTCTGCGCGAGCTGATGTGAAACACCAGTCGAAAAGCCTGTGAAAATAGCTAAAATCGAAATAACAGCACAAACTTAACTTTAAAGTAATCCTAAACAACCAAATTTAAATATAGAGGTCTTTCACTGACGTCATTGTTCCCTTGACAATGAGACGCGCCGCCATCTTGGAGGCCTTCATTCGTATTGTTGTTATTGCGTAACACAAGGTCGATCGTCTTCTCG